TGGTGGACACGAGAGGTACAACTGGCAGTTAAAGAGAAGAAAGCAGCGTTAAAGAAATGGCTTGGAAACAGAGAGCTTTCTTGTTGCATGCGATATGTCAAGGCGGGCAACGCGGCAGCGAAAGCCAAAGCTGATTCCTGGGAGAAGTTCGTTGAGATGTTGAAACCGAATTTCCACACAGCAAACAAAGTATTCTGGCAAACCATCCGCCAGCTCCGAGGTGAAAAGACTGACAGTCTCAGAGCCTTGAACGACAGGTCTGGACATCCACCTTCTTACCAGGGTTATACATGGACAGGATATTCAGAAGCAGCCAAGGCGATGAGTCAATCAGTGTAGGAGATGCGGAGATGAAAAGTTGCTGTTTGCTGTCACCCTTCTGAAACTGATCTTCAGTACTTCCTAGAAAGGTTCGCAACCGAGTGAGACTTGACGGGCATGCGTGTGATCGCATCTAAAACGAAAAATCTTGTGCCTTCTCGTTCTTCTGCCCGTTGCTCTCTTCATATTAACAGAAATGCAGTGGATCAAGTGGAAAAGTACAAATACTTCGGAGTCGTACTTGCTAGTGATGGTTAATTTGAGGAAGAGATCGACCGGCGAATTGGCGTAGCCACTGACGTTCTGCATGAACCAGCACGATCCATTATGACTAAGGCAGAGGTGAATTTGAAAACTAAGCTCGATGTTCAAGCCAATCTTTGTCATAATGTTTACTATGGTCATGAATCGTGGACCATCACTGGAAAACGGTTAGAAGCTGCTGAATTGGGCTTTCTTAGACGAGACGATGGCCTTACGCGTCTCGACATGGTCCGGAATAGTGACATCCAGAAGGGTCTTGGTATACAGCCTTTGCTTCTCCAGATTGAGAAGTCACAGCTGCGATGGTTTGGGCATGTGTTGCGAATGCCTCCAGAAGGAAAGGCTAAGCAAGTGTTCCTTGGAAATCCGACAGACAGAAGGTCCAGGGGACGGCCAAAATTAACCTGGTGCAAATATATGGAAGGAGTCTGTTCCAGACTCCATCTGTTTTTTGCCGAAGCTCAGACTTTGTCACAAGACCGGAAACGTTGGAAGCATTTTATGACGCGATTGCCTTCGCGACCCGAAAGGAAAAGCGGACATGAACAATGAAGATTCAAAAGGCGAGTTCCAAACATTGTGTAAAAGACCTGTTTCTTCAAATCTTTCAGATGAATTCCTCAACTATTGAGCATCCATGTGAATGACTGATTCCCTTTGTATTAGATCATAAAAGAAAATCTGGTTCTCTGACATTCGGATCGCGCCATATATGCCCTGTCATAATTGCTTTGACAATTTTTTGACTTTGTATATTTCGTTTCTATTTCTGATTGTTTTCAGATATTATCGATATTTTAAAGCAGAATTCTTTCCAGCTCTTGATAAGCAGGAAAATTTTAATTTCTTGCGAAAAAAATGCTTGCAACATAGTCACGTTAGAGTTTGTGACCGTCTTTCGCAGACGACGCCAATATTGTGAGTAATTCGCTTATGTAAACAGCGGCTGCCCGTGACAATGCTTATCCTAAAAACCAAGTGTTCGTGCTTTAAACCCAGCATCAATTCGTGATAAGTATGTAACTTTGGGTGTGTGCTTCAGAATGTTATTCTTCATTCGAGGCAAGCTGGCGTTATCAAATTTTTTGATCCTTCAGCCACCTGGAGGACTTCTATATGCATACTTTTCTGTAAATTTGTATCCTCTTCTGCATTTATTGAAGATCATGGTACCTGCAGATTACTATAATTTAATGTGCTTGGGCTCCAATTATTGTTTGAAGTTTCTTCTTCTGTTCTTCACTGTATTTTTTTCTTGTTCCGGACTGTTTCTCATATATCTGTTCTTTCTGTTCTGGCTATGTTTCTGCCTCTCCATCAACTTTAATTATGTACAATATTGATATTGATGTAAAAGTTGTGAAAACGGCACTATTCTAATATTCTGAACTTACATAGCTGTAATAATTCGAGCGATTATCTGAAACGGTACCATGCTTTGCATTTATTTGGTAATTTTATATATTTCTTGACGCTTTTTATGCCTTTGTTAAAAAATGGCTCCCTTTCAAATGGTTGCATTTAAACAGTAACTGCAACGAAGGCAAACATGTGGTAACGCGTTTTTCTTAAATGCTGAGTTTATTGTGAACAATCATATAGAACGTTAACGAGGCTGTTTCACGAGTTGATTTAATTCATTGCAATTTTGAAGTGAATTTTTCTAAAAGGATGACAATCAGAATATAGAGCTGAATGGAGAAAGAAGAAGCTCCATTTTGAACCGTTATTTGCTGTAAGTAAAAGCAAAGCGTGGCGTTTACTCTGTGCATATTGCGGAAGGATTTATTGATCAGGCGAAAGGAAGTTTCAAAACAAAACTGGAAAACTAATGTAATTAATAATGCGTAAAGAACATCCTCCTCGCTACGTTGATTATAAAAGCCATAAAATGACTTGCAACTTCGTTTCCAGCAAGTCGCAGGTTAGACCATAAGAATCTTTAAAGAAGATCGGCTATGACAAATATCGATAGCAGTTCCTAATGTGAGCAAGATTAGCATGAACTGCATTCGTTTCGCTAGGGTTTTGCATCTGAGAATTTTAACGTACTTGCACATCACCGTAACCCCGTCAGCCAATGAGCGGCAGTTGTGGCCAATGTTTCTGGAATTCATTGCTGAAGCCCGAAAGGAATAAGCGAGTGAGTTGTTACCGCTAGAGTTACCCGGTTGATGAGAGTACACTTTGACGACGACGTAAAAAATGAGCTACCTCTCTCCACTTCCGCATCGCTTGAGCATTCGTTCAAGGTATGAGAACATTTGCTAATTTAACGGTTTCCTTAGTGATGCATGTTTGTGATCTTTTGTGTCTCTCGTATTATTGTTTAGACCAAGGGCACCCGTTCTGACTCGCTCCTTCAGCGAATCAGCCCTTGTGGATCTTTGCGCAGTGCCGGTGATTCACCCCCGTCGCGAAGTTCCCAGTCGGCGAATCTTTCGCGACCGCGATCCAGCCTTCGTTCACTATCAGATTCAGGTGGGCACCCGTCGTGTACCCCTGGCGGACTTGAACTACATAAGACATCATCCGGAGGTAAGCTAGTCAATGCATTAGGTTGCTGGGTGCTAAAGACCCTGCTGTTTCAGAGACTTCAGGAACAGCGCCGATGGACAGTGCGCAGCTACTCTACACCTCGCATGGGCTTCGTCCGATCGCAAACGACCAACAGATACTCCCGGCACACCTACGAGATGGAGGTATGACCGTTGATCATAAATATTCGGTTGCGCTTTGCTTTCTTTACGATTACGTAACCTCCCCAATTAAGTTTCCACAGGTGTTATTGGAACATCACGTTCTTAGCCGTGTGTTGTTGACTCTCTCTCGATCCTTCCTTCCTCTTTAATCATACACTCAGCGTTCAGAAATTCGTCGCTTTCGAGTTGTCGACGAAAGTTATAATTAAGTTGTGTATTCACCACCAGACCTGTCGCCTTCGCTCACGCGACGACGGTGGCTATTGCGCATTCATCGCTCGTGTTGCGTATTACCCCTTCTTTATCTTTTTGCCACTGCATGCCGCATGATTTATTACAGAGCCTGTTGCTGTTCACCTCAGCATGTATTTCAGCGTCCACCGAGGCAGCTATCTTCGCTTCTGCCCGCTGCTGCTTTAATCTATGCCGATATCGTTTGGCATCCACTCATCGTTCGGTTAAAATATCCGTTGAGGCAGGATTTGATAGTATATTTGACTCTTTGTTCTTTTCGAGAAGATACGTGTGCATTATCACAGGCCTTTGAAACCAATCGAGTCTCCCTCGGTCCAGCTGTCGGACATATCACACACAGCTATGCTTGTTGTCTGACTTAACGGCGGTTGGCTCACAGATCAATCTTCCAAATTTTTCATAATAGTTGGTTTGAAAGGTTTTCGTTGACTGATCGCTAACTCTCATTGCATTAGATTCCTGTTGTAATAGTAAGTACAGTACGCAGCGTTATGTCAGTGTTCAGCAGGCACTTACAATGGCGATCTACTTGACCAGGCCTTCATGAAATCACTGCTACTTTGTGCATTTTAAATATTTTATATTTACTGACTGTTATGAGTCGTCATCGGAGGATTCATCGAGATACACCTAAATATCACGTGGATCTCTCAAAGTTTTCTGTAGTGCTTTGTTTCATTCTTTGGTTAGACAGCTAACGGCATCTGGCCCTTTCATGCGGCTACTTGCTTTGGTCGTTGTCCAATGCAAACTTGCGTGGGAAAAATACTATATTACAGACCCAGAACCTCTCAGCAGATGGTTGCATGAATGAGTTACTTCATAAAGCTATATCTAAGGTTTTCTGTACGCATATCTAGTACTAGATGTCTTGATCATGTTAAACATCTACTATTGTCACGCCTTGAATTCTATATCGTCAGGAATGTTGTGACTAACTATTCGATGTTAAAGGACCAAGACGTTTCTTATGAGAAGGTTGCATTAATGAATTTCTTTTTATAAGTATATCCCAGTTGATCTGGATGCATGCCTAAGACCAAATGGCTTGGATATATTGAATTCCTGACATTGCGCGCTTTGAAATCCAGATCGTCCGGATGCTCAGACCATGTTTTCGAATAACATTCTGAAATTGCTGGTCCTTCAACCTGAAAAGAGAGGTGGTTCGCATCAAGTATAAAATGTTTGGCGTATTCCAGAGTACTATATACATATGCATGACGTCATTATGCAGGTGAAAGTTTTTAGTTCTTCATGCGCTTTTTTAAAAATATTTTTTCATTTTCAATCCACGAAAGGACTCAAGTCGTTTCCAACACTGATACGACTTTATTGCTCAAGCATTTCAGTTTTTCCGCTCTAGCAGTTATCGACATCAAAGGAATTAATTGGCTATCTTGAACATAGTGTTTGCTGTTATCTGTTTTTGTGATCATAGACACACAGTGATAACCAATGAATTGACAGATTATTTACTACTTGAATGGCTTTCAGAAACCGTCGCTCCATCTATACAGTGCAGATAGTTTTCATCATTTGTTTTTGCGGATTAATTCCTTTGGAAATTAATCATTTTGCTCCAGTGTCAGGCATCATAAGCTTAGGTCACTCTAATAAGCACTGTCAACCTCAACCTGCGATGATGATGACCGAAAAGAAGTCAGATGTATAGTCTGTACATCTTATACATTGCAGACGGCCTGTTTACTAGCCTAAACTGTCCCCCTAAGCAAAGAGGCGTGCTTCTTCTCATAAGACTAGATGTGATGACTTCCTTAAATCCTACATGACGGCGGTATCGCTGTGGCAGAAGCTATGTTTGCTGATGATAACGTCCGCCCTTCATTTGGAAGGATTTAATGCATGTGTGATAATGCCGTATACCTAGGCCTTTGTATTCTCCACAAAGGCATCTCAATCAAAGACCTCTGCAGGCAAATGAACAACTGTCGATTTCGAGAAAGTTTGACTACTTGCAGTAGTGCCCATGAGGGATGGCGGGCAGGATGTCGAAGTAAACATGCGTATCACTCTAATGAACGCTGAAATGTTGGATTTCACGATATCTGTGATGATTAATAATGCATAAAGCTCCGAATAGATATTCAGGTTTTATTCGTTCGATCATCACTTACGATTGTACTGAATATTGATCGTAAAAGTGGGTGCGAAACGCAGGAAATACAAATAACTGCTCTTTGAAAGACTGCTGGTGTGATGAGACCCGTCAAGGTTTCAAATATCCCAGATTGGTAGTTGTTCTTCCTCCAAATCAAGAGGTCATAATTGTGATGATTTCGTCATGTGATAAGAATGTTACAGGAGAGGGTAGCAAGGTAGACTGTTGGCAAAATTACATGAAAGACGGCTTAGGGGTTAACAGTGAACCAGAACATGCTGGCGACGGCGGTGGTAAACTAGGATTCGGAATGCGATTAGTGATGGTGACAAACGAAACAATTACAGAAGCTGCAAACCTGGTTTGTGAGCGCATAGAAGACCTCCATTGTGTTCCCTTGGAATCCTTTGCCATTCAGTTTGCAATTAGACGGCGGAGCTAAGCCATTTGAAACGTATCCGGAAGTTCATACTCTTCTAAAGGAAGGAAATCATAATATGCTTACTAGAAACAGCAAAATACTTTTATGAACGCATAACGCAATGAAGGGGTCGATCAGTTGATAGACTGATTCCTGTATAGATGTTTATTCACCATATGATTTAAGTTATTCTTATGTAATCAAGATAATCAAGATAAATTTGCTTTGCGTGGCAGAACAGAAGATCTGGAGAACCATCTTCAGTATCAGATGGCAGCGGTTAAAATTCGACATCATGGGACAAAATAATACCAGAAGAGAGTCAAATATTTCCTTGCCACGATAGCTATGGAAGCAAATTATGGAATATTTGATTCGTACCTTGGACAGTCATGTTAAAAACAGCGTAAAAATATTTTATTGACACGTAAGGCGATAAACCGGTTCATCCGTTGATAGACTTTTGCTTTTTATATACGGTTTAAATCCGCTCGTCTGCACAGGACATAACGAACGAACAGCAGCCGTAAGTTAGGCAACATGACAGTAAGCTTGGCATGCTCTGGCGTATCTCAACATATACACCGTGCCCTCCGTATTATTCTCAAGTTAACGACTTTTTAGTCGTTTCTTGCTTGGTTGCATCGATATACAGAGGGAAATAGTGGCTGTAATATAAAAATTTCACACCGCACCTTGAATTCAAACCCGGAACTTTTGAAGTACAAAGCAACAGCTCACTAACTACGCCACTGTCCCCTTCAACTCAGTTCGCCTTTGGTAAATGTCATCTTCGTTTAAAGCGTAGTATTGACAGCAGAAATTTACAAGGTTATATAAAGTGTGTAGCCAGAATTTCATATGCTGTTAGTACCGGATATCACTGATATAGAGTGGAATGCTATTACTTCGAAAAGTCTTGATATGCTATCATTTTTGTTTACGTGTTTGTTGGTATCTCATTCATCTTGCCGTGAGCCAGAGTTTGAAAAATTGACGAAATTATTCTTCGCTAAAGGGATCCCTAGTCTTCTAGAAGCAAAGAGGCGGTGCATTGATGCCGTACTATCAGTTGTAAGATTTTCTTCTATATTACACTCCCGCAGTGTCGATGTAAAGTAAGAAATAAATTTTTTTCTTTACACTCATTTTCGCCGTTTAAATCCGAGATCATTAATTTTACATGATGTATCGACGGCGGTATCAAAAGCTTCTCTCACCGAGTATTCACAAGAACATCGGGGTTATGTTTTCGATTTATTCTTCGTTTTGTCCTGATTTATATAAATGAATTCATCATCACTCTCGGTTGCTGTGTCTCAAAAATCAGTGAAGTGTTTATGCTTATGAACGCTGACTTTAAAAGAACGACCAATATCACCAATATCCTAATTGTTGCCTTATTACCTGAAATGTATTTACCTTTGTTTTGAATGAAGACAGATCTGTGAGAAAGCTTGATCATAGTTTTTTGATTGAATTAAGCTTAGCGAAGAAAATTCATGAGGCAGCAACTAGCCGATCAACGATGAGTGAATTTCGACTGCAACTCTCGATTAAATATTTTTTACTTTTAGCGCAGAGAGTTATTACGAAGCAAGGCTAAATTTCAATCATGATGAGTTGTCAGGTGTTCTTACGAGTCCAGGCCATTTGAGTTCACTTGTTATGCGAGATACTGATTTCAGTAAGGACTGCTGCCTCCGTTTTTGCAGTTTGGCATTCGGCGAAGTCAAGACACTTTGCGTAAAGGCAATTTAACGTAGCTGAGGCTTCTGCAGACAATACGCTGGTAAATGACATGAGTTTTCCAAACTGTTCTCTTCTAGAGGTAGTAACAAATTGCTTCTGATCATGAAAAACATACTCACTTTTCGGTCAACGAGTCTGCCAATTATTTAACGCAAAGCGAGGATTCAGGAACACCGAGATGCGATCAGAAGAGGCTGTTCAGAAAATTTCGACAATTGTTGCATATTGCATACAGTGCAAGCAATTTCTACAGTCATCATCATCATCTTCCATCGCCACTTCTCCTTTCGGATCGCAGAGGCAGACGTGTCAGACAGTGCTTCCAACGTTCCCGATCCTGTGCCAGAGTCTGAGCTTCGGCAAGAGACAAATGCAGTCCTGGAACAGCTCTTTCCATATATTTGCATCAGGTTAATCTTGGCCGTCCCCTGAGCCTTTTGTCGGTCGGATTTGCAA